GATGAATGTCCATTTTGTATCTGTGTATTCAAAGTGGTTAGGATAGATATATAGTTGCTTTCTCTTAATGAATAGAATGATTTGTTCTAATGGTGTTTGTAAATAGGATCACAAGTTCACTTCTTGTACAGCAATTAACCACTAAGAAGAATATATGCAGTGTATTATTTGTTGAAACTGTACTTCCGATTTATTTTGAAACTGTCTCATTGCTGTTTATCAATAAAACTTTGAAAAAAAATAAAAAAAAATTTAAAAAAACAGAGCATCTTCTTTTCTTCCCCAGGTTATTTCTAGTGTCTAAATTCTGAATCTCAGAGAGCTTAACTTCTTGTTGTTTACTGCTCTGTCTTCTTTCCAGAAGTCACAGTTCCTTTTGTTTTTTATCCCTTATCCCTTTCTTGTCCCTTTCCTTTTGCTCCCTATCTTGATCCCCTTACCTTTTTTTTTTCATTTGTGTATTTTGTACAGGGTCTCACTATTCAGCTCAGACTCATAGTGATCCTCCTGTTTTCAGCCTCCCCAGTGCTGGGATTGCAGACATGCACCACCACAGTGGGACTCAGTTGCTGGCTCAGCATGCCCCAGAGGGAAGGCCAGAGCAGCACACGGAACTGGGGATCAAACCCTGATCCCTGCACTTGCCAACTCAGGCACTTAGTCCACTGAGCTATCTCACCAACCCTTGATCCCCTTACCTTTTAAGGACACTCTGTTGCCCTCCTTCCTGTTTTCTATGTTTTGTTTTGCCCTTCATCTTTACTCTGGGATCCTCATTCAAGAGAAACAATGTGACATTTAAGCTTGTGTGTCTGGTTTGTGTTACATCTAGGGCTGAGCAGACCCTTGGATACCTGTACAGGGGAATGCAGAGTAAAGAAATACAAACAAATTTTAGGGCCGAAAAAGGACCAGGAGGAGTTTGCCTCTACTGGACTTGCTTGGCTACCTGTGGTTCGCACACCTTTATTGGCTAACAAGAAGTTCAGGTGGAGGGGTAGCATGCATTTCATGGAACAGTAACTATGGAAAATGCTTGCATAAGAATTAAATTAGTGAGGAACCAGATATTCTCTAAACCCAATGCCTGTATTTTGACAGTTGTCCTCAGAAGATGCTATCTTGTCTAAGGAGAGATAGGTTATTAGCATTCTGACCACAGCAAGGGGACATACACAGCATTCTGCATACCTTCCTTTTCTGAAGCAAGATCACACTGGCCTCAGGACTTGAGGAGGCTTAAGTCACATAGTCTGCTCCCCATAATCTATCACACAGACTGGTCCCCAACAGTTGTACTTAACATCATGGCCTCAAGGTATTCCATTTCCCTAGAGGTGACACAAGTTTATCTTTTTATGGCAGTACAGTACTCCATTGTGTGTAAATACCACATTTTCTTTATTCATCTTGCAGGAATATGGACTAATCCTAAGATTTAGCTATTACAAATTGTGCTGTTATTAACATACATAAGATGTATTTTAGTAATATGATAACTTTTTTGGGAAAATGCCTAAATGCTAGGTGAAGTGAAACTTCTAACTTAGTTCCTCCTCTTCAGTTAGATTGAATTAGTTTTTAGTATTTTCTTTTGTGTTCGCTGATGACTTCTAAGGTATACTTTATGATTTGTTTTATAGTTTTATTACAGTAGTAAATTTTAATAATGTTACAGTTGATTTGAATTTATATTTTACTATTTCATGATTATTATGAAAGCTTTGCATATTCCTGTTTACTTTTTCCTATTTTTGTGTTATTGTCACCATACAATGTATTTTACATGTTATAAACCCCAGAATACATTGTTCTTATTTTTGTTTGTTTTTTCTTTTTTGGTACCAGGAATCGAACTCATGGCCTTGCACTTGCCAGGTAGGTAGGTGCTGCACCACTGAGGTACACCTCTGACCCTTATTTTTGCTTTTTAACAGTAAATTGTTACATAAAAAGTTAAAGAAAAATGAGTCTTTCATATTTGTCTATTATTTAATAATTCAAGTATTCTCCATTTCAAACACCTTTAGTTCCAAGTTCCTGACATTATTTCCCTTACATCTAAAGAATTTTATCACTTCTAGCATATGGGCATTCTGGTGAAATATTCTCAGTTTTATTGATTTAAACATGTCTTCATATTGGCTTCCATTAGAGGATCTTTTATTTGATTTAGAATTCTAGGTTGATTTTCTTTTTATTCAAACAGTTTCACATTTCCTGTTATCTTTTAGCTGGTATTATTTCTGATGAAAACTCACCTGTTATTCTTATCATTTATGTAATATGTCTTTGTTTCATACCTACTTTCTGTTGTATTTTTGTTCCTCTTTTTTTGCCTACTTTTATGATCTTTTCCCTTACCTTTGCCTTTCAGCATTTTACTATCATGTACATAGGTTTTGTGTTTGTTTTTACTTTGAATTTTGGAGTTTGCTGAACTGTTTGCATCTATAAATTGGTTTGTAGTTTCTCCATTTGGAAAATTTCAGCCATTATTTAAATATTTTTTTCTACCCACTTCCTCCTTTACTGAGATTCTAATTACATGTAAGTTAGACTACTCACTAATAAATGAGAGCTTTTTTCCTCTTGGTGCTCTAGTTGATCCATTAGAAGTTTCACTGATGTTTTCTTAGTCTAAAGTCTTTATGTCTGTTCAGTGACTTTTTCTGGTATTATATTTTTCACTTGTAGAACTTTCATTTAGTTTTCAGCATGTCTATATTTCTATTAAGTTATCTATATCAGTTCATCCATTCTGTTTAGATTTTATTATAAATTCTTTAATGTACTTTAAAGTCACTTTAAAGTTCTTGTTTTCTATCTATGCATCTGCTTGTATTGATTCATATTTTCTTGATTATAGGTTACATATTTTCACATGTCTAACTTTTTATTGTAGTTCAGATACTATATATAAAAGAACAGTGAAGTATGAAGTATTGTATATGCATATAGTTGTAAGTATAGTTTTGTTGTTGTTGTGTTTCTAAGAGACACTATGCCATTCCTTCTGTCCCATGGTTAAGTTGAAGGGCAGATTATTCATTTCTCCTGGTGCTGTGGCTCAACTCTGCCTCTATTGAAGCTTACTTTGATTACTTTGTTTTTGATTTTGATTTTTTGAGACAGGGTCTCCCTATGCAGTTCAGGCTGGCCTTGAACTCACTTTCTAGCCAAGGTTGGTCTTGAACTCACATAGATTCTTCTGCCTCACTCAGCCTCCAGAGTGCTGGGATTACAGGGGTGTGCCACCGTGCCCTGCTGTTGAAGCTTAATTTGAATTTGTTTCTCATCTTTGTTTATGTTAAACCACAGCTAGGCCCCAGAATTCAGACTTAGGAATAACACAGAGATATTTGTGACAATAAAAGGAAAAGCATCTCTTTTCTCATCCTACTTCTCAGCTCCCA